GCCTGGCCTCTGCAGCGGCTTCCCCGACTGGGAGACAAGTGCAAAGTCCTGGCTGCGCAACGGCCTGCCCCAGTGCCGGTTTTTCCGCTGAAGCCCCAGGAGGGGCGGCCAGTGGAGCAGGGAACACCAAAGGGGTCACTTCCAGCCGGAGTGGGCGAAACGCACAGGGTCTTCCATCTCTGGGAGCCTGCTTTCTGCACAGTGGGGGTGACAGTGGATACCCCCGCCAGGACTGTGCTGGAGATGCATCGAATGCAAGGCATGGAAATGAGAGGGTGGCTCAGGACGCGCATCTAAAAGTAACCACAGGTCGTTGTGAGAACTCTGGGTCACCCTTTTTCCAGAGCTCTGGCATTTCCAACTCAATTCAGCCACTTTGCCTCCTCTGTCATTCTGGTTCTCAGCTCAACCCAATCGATACAGCAGCTGAAGGGAGCTTACTTGCAAGAATTGTTGGGACCGAATCAGGGCCTTGGCACTACCATGGTTTAATATTTAAATTTATTTGGCTAGGCTTGAACTTTTCGATCCTCCTGCTTCAGCCTATGTGCTAGGATTACAAGTGTGCACCACACCTAGCTTACAGCAAGCTTTAAAACTGAAACGGCTGAGGCAGCAGGATCACTCGAGGATAGCCCGGACTACAAAGTTTGTTCAAGGACAGCCTGAACTGCAGTGAAAACCTGTCTCAAAAAGACAAAAACAAAACTACTGGAACAGGACACATCATTCCAGCCTGATTGGCGACTCTTTGTATACAGTCAGTCTGCATTCGAGGCATATCTACTAATGCACAAAAGCAGCTATAAGAAACAGCACACTGATAGCAGGAGCCTCTGGTGCTGGGAAATTCACCTATTACTCTGTGCACCTTGGTGGCATGTTTGTTTTGGTACCAGGGATGGAACTCAGGTCCTCGCACTTGCAAGGCAGGCAGTGACACCACTGAGCTAAATCCCTGGCTCTTGACTTTTTACAAGAATATTTACTGGATCAAAATGGGGAAAAGTGGTGACAAAGCCTTCCTTTCTTGGTGTCTTGAGTCTCAAATGGTATTAAACTTTGGTTAGGGACAGGGACAAAGGAAGTGGAGCTTTCTTTCTTTTTGGTACTGGGGATCGACTCGGGACCTTGCATTTGCTAGACAGGTGCAATGCCAGAGCTAAATAAATCCCTGGCCCTGAGAGTGGGTATTTTTTCCCAGCAATCTTTCCTCCCCTTAAGTTGGCGTAATGTAAAGTCCCAAGGCCCAGCCTAAACATCATCAAAATATTTATTAAAACCAAAGCAGGAGGGAACAGAGCTGTTAGGAAACAAATCAAAGTGCAGATTGGAGTGAAGGGCAGAGCAGAGCAGTAAGTTAGTGTGGAGCTTCAAACACCACAGGAGGGCTCCTCAGTCTTGGCTGGAGGAGTCCTTCACCCACCCTGCCAGTGAAGGTCCCCACTCACCTCTCCCATCTCATGTCCATCCTGGGGGCAGCTGGGACCCCGAGGTGACCCTCTGGAAAGGGATCAGCCCTCCATCCACCCATGGCTGTCAGTCTCCCTCCCCCATTCCCAATAAATAAGTCAGTCAGGCATTAGCTTCTTCGGGGTCAGGCAAAAGAACAGCTCAGGGACCCCTGCCCTTTGCTCCGCAGGCTTGCCAAAAAGGCCTTGATAAATAAATAATGCTCTGTTAAAGCTTCGATCAGAAAAAAACTTTTAAGACAGAAGTGCTCTCAATGTCCTGCAAACCCAGCCAGCCAAGGCCTCCCCACCTGGCCTGATCAGTGCACAGGATTTGGGGGCAGGAATCCAGCCTGGGCTTCATTGGGCCCCTGGAGCAAGGAGACCGAAAGTGCAGTTAGAGCCCCCCATGCACACACATGAACTCATGCACACATGTGGACACACCGGGGCGTGTCTGCAGTGCACGCACAGATGTGTTCACCTTCATTCCCCGGTACATGCGCACATACATGCTCACACCACACCCCAGGTGTACATGTGTGGGGTGCCGGGTGCATGCACATACACACCACAAACACAGGCTCCCTCCCTGGCTTCTTTGACCTCTGGGTGGCAGCCAGACCCCAGAGCTAGAAGCTACTGGAGAAAGAAAAGAGAATATAATTACACTCTTCCAATGAGGGTGGAAGGGTGGCCTGGGGCAGAGGACTCCAGGGCTGCAGAGGCAGGGTAGGCATCTCAGGAGATGCTGCCCCCGTGTGGCCCGTCAGAAATCCAGGGGGGTCAGGTCCCCAAAGTCACAATCAAAGAGGTCTCTGATGCCCTCGCCCTCCTCAAGGCCAAAATGGTAGTCAAGAGCCTCATGGGGTGGAGAGAGGCTGATGAACTCCTCAGGAAGGAGCCCAGGAAAGTCCTCCCGCACATGCTCCAGGAGCGAGTCAGCAGCAACCAACGGGGACAGATGGTCCTCATCCACAGGGGCCCGTAGGCCACTCATCCGTGACAGCAGTGGCTCTGGGGAAACAAGAGAGCATCATAGGCCAGGGATGGCCCAGCATGGGTGAGAGGGGCCCACCCCACCTGCCCTTCACCCACCTTGCTCCAGGCTGAGCAGGGACTGGCTGGGATCCATGGCAGGGGAGGAGGGGGGAGATGATGGTGGTGGCACTGGGGTGACAGTATCACCTGTCCTGTCCTCTTCCCCAGAAGCTGCCTCCTGGGGCGGGGTCTTTGCAGGGCTGATTCCACCTGTACTCTCCTCGGGGCACAGGAAAACATCGATGGGGCCTTGTTTGCTCTTAAGGGAGATCTGAAAGGTCTAGGTAGAGGCAGGAGACAGTGTAAAATGAGGCCCAGTGACCACTACCCCAGTCTAGCCCGTCCTGGTCAGCCTGGAGCCACTGGCCTCACCTCTGAAGAATCCACAGCTTGGAGCTGGGTCTCCGGAGGGGCCTTGATCACCATGACCATCTGCTCCGCAGGGTCTGCGATGCTATGAAGGTCCTGGCAGGTCACATAGGCCAGGGTTGGCGGAGTCAAGGACCATGTGGCTTTTGGCCACCCGACAGCCCCAAGACGGTGCCCACAACTGCCTAGTCAGTCCTGTCCTCTTGACACCCAGACTCAGGGCCCAGCATATAGTTTGTATTCAAAACCTCATCCCCCTGAGCTTCACCTGCCACCTGTGTACAGTGTGCCACCTCCCCATCCATTTCTAAGCCATCGCAATGTAATATGCTTAACACAACTCCAGGTGGCCATTTATGGTCTTGGTGTCAACTGACAGTTGTGCTCCAAATTTGTGCGGTACTGGGGATTGAACCCAGAGGGCACTGAGCTGCATCCCCAGCCCTTTTTGTTTTTTTGTTGGTTTTTAGACACAGGGTGGATTGAACCCAGAGGGCACTGAGCTGCATCCCCAGCCCTTTTTGTTTTTTTGTTGGTTTTTTGAGACAGGGTCTCACTATGTAGTTGAGACTGACCTGGAACTCACTATGTAGCCCAGGCTGGTCTAGAACTCACAGTGATCCTCCTGCCTCAGCCTCCCAGGTGCTGGGATGTCAGGTGTGCGCCACCATGCCCAGCTTATTTTTTTGTTTTGAAATAGGGTCAGGCTGGCCTCAAACTTTCAATTTTCTCTCCTCAGCCTCAAGTGTCTGTGATTATAGGTATGTACCACAACAACCAGCTGTGACCAAAGTTTATAAACACAATTTTGGAATTCACTGAAGAAACATTTTAATGAAGTTTCTATTTTTCTGAACGAAACACAAAAACTTAATGTCTCTAATTTTGAAGCTACAACTATGTGCTGAATCACTGCACTAAATAAATGTTTTGTTATTGCCGATACCAGGATTTTTAAGGTCTTGCTGTGTACCCAGGCTGGCCTAACCTCAGCCTCCAAGTGCTAAGATTACAGGTGTGGGCTACCATGCCCAGCTAGTTTTTGTTTAATCTGCACAAATTGGGAATTAGAGATTACCATCTCCCCCTTTCTAGATGAAGCTGACACCCAGAGGTCAGATAACTTGTGCAGTGTCACATGGTGAGCAGATGTGGAGCCAGGACTTGCATCCAAAGCCCACTCCTGAGTGCAAGGCCTAGTTCCACTTGACAAGACCCCACCTGCCAAGACTGCCATTCAGCACCCACAGCCCCCCAAGCAATCCAAGGATATCGCTGGCTGTCAGAGTCCCCGGAGAGCAGCTGCAGCTGTGTGCTGCAGATGTGCATTAGGTGGTCTAGTTGCTGCTCACTCTCCTGCAGCTGCTGGAGGTCCTGGGTCAGCCCTTCAAGCCGCCCGCTGATCCCCACTGTGGTGTGGCTGCCCCTGGGGGGAGGAATGGGGGGAGGGGGCCTTTAGCAACTCCTGGCCCCTCTGCCCATCAGCCCTGCCCTCAGGACAAAGTCTGCTGCTGCTGCTGTGGTGTGAGCCCCAGGCAAGCCCTTTCCCCTCTCTGGTCCCGACACCTCAGCTGGGTGCCGAATCAGATGGGCACAGGTTTAAAGCCTGGCCTGTCAACAAACGCCCACGTGTCCCTATTAGGGGGCAAGGTAAGTACACGATGGCATGGACAGGCCATGGCATGTGACACAGCTTTAAAAGGATGAGAATAATTAGACGAACACTTGAGTCATTTATAAGACATGTTGTCAAGTAAAAAGAAAATGATGCAGAGTGGAAAATCTACCAAAAATTGAAAAGGTAGGGTATGTCAGAGACAGAAAGAGAGCACAGTAGGATGATTGCGAAGGAAGGTGTGGAGGGAAAAACAAATCAAAAGCTAACAAGAATAGACATCAATGCCAGGAAAATCTCATGGATGGTGGAAGCTTGAATGTTGGTCAACGACTGGGAAGGAACACAGAGGAACCTTCTGGGACTGGAAAGCTTCTGTATGCTCATCTGGTGGGGTGGCTACACAGTGAACGAACAGGTAAAGCTACAGCGAGCCGGACAGGCAAGGTTTGTGCACCTCTCCGTGTCTGTCACCCCCGGAAGCCACTATTCTTCTGAGCCTCAGTCTCAACCGTAAGATGGGGATGCAAGCAGGGCTGGTACCTACAGCCACTGGATGTGGTTCTTGGACTTCTTGGCAATGAGCTGGATGCCCTCCAAGACATTGGTGATGTCGTAGATGCGCCGTTTCTGCACCTTTAGCACCTCAGCTGCCCAGTTCAGGTCAACAACGCCATCAGCTGAGCGGCTCAGCAGCTCCAGAAAGCGTTTGGTGGTTAGATTCAGGGATGTCTCATAGCGTGATTTCTCCCCTGGAGATTTCACACCTGGTGTGGGGGCGGGAAGGCAAGATGGGGTCCTCATCCGTCCCCACCCTCAACCAGGCCTGGCTCTCGGGCAGTGCAGAGAACAGGATGGGTGGGGGGCACAGGGCTCCTTCCCCTGATGACACCAAGCAGGGAGGCCCCATGGCCACTGCCTGCCAACCACAGCGTTTCCTCTTCTGGCAGGGGAACTCCCCACCCCCAAGGACACTGCCTCTGCCTGCTGGGCCCACAGAGGCCTGGCTCAGGCCCAGTCCTGACCAGCTAGACCTTAGTCCATAGGCAGGTCCACGCCCCCACCTGGGCCTGTCTAGCCTAAGTCCCATGTACCTTTCCCCAGGAGCCGGCCTCTGCCCCGGACTGGCCCACTGCTCTCAGCCAGGTACTGGTGGTCAGTTTCCAGGTCCAGCCTCCGCTTCACCTGCAGCAGGCATAACGGGAGGATGGCCAGTAACCAGGAGTGAGGCTACAGAGCCTCAGCTGAGGGCCCCTGCCTGTTTCTCTACTAGGTACACATATAAATGAGGGAGACAGATCGATCCCGGGGGACACAGCATGGAGGTGATACCCGTGTCACACAGAACACTGAAGCAAAGGGCAGCAGACCCGACTTGCCCCATCTACACCACCACTACCCTGGGGGCTGGTGGTAGTTTTAAAATGTCTCTGCAAAATAGCCCTTTGGCTGTGACAGAGATCAAACATGGGACTTTGTACAGGCTAAACACACATTCTACCACTGAACTGCATCCCTAGCCCCTACACCACCCCTAACCCCTACATCTGCAAATTTTTAAAAATACTTATTTCAAAAATGAGAGCAGGGAGCAACACCACTGAGCTAAATCCTCGCCCCCCTCCTCTCAGTCTGTGACTAGTTTACTTATCTATAACCATGGCCGCAGCTGATACTTGTGAGTCACTTTGCCTCACTGGCTTATTTCAGTCTGTGGACTAGCAGCACGGTAAGAGCCCCATTTTACAGATAAGGCAAATGAAGCTCAAGGCCATAGAGCCAGGACTCCTACTGAGGATTATCAGAGGAGGAGGAGCACAGCCCTTTCCCTCACACCCCTCTGGCTTAGGTCAGGAACTCAGGCATGAAGGCTGTCCTGTGAGTCCCACAGGCAGCGCAAATGCACCTTGCCCAGAACCACACTTGCCATCTCTCCACCAGCCACAGGCTTTCAGATTCAAACCTGTGAGCCCACCTGCCACCCTCACTACATCCAGTTGCCACAAGCACATCTCCACAGCCTTCATCGCTTCCCACTAGAGGGTCAGCGGCCTCCACACCACCGGCTCACCTCCAGCTGGCCCCTCCACGGCAGCAGCGCTGCTGCCTCTACCCTCACCTGCCCTTGCTTCTCCATGAAGATTCTAAGAAACCCATCTCTCCGAGCCTTAGCCCATGCCAGCCTCTCCTGGATTGGTCTTGCCCAGCTTTTTCTCTCCCCTCTGTACAACTAACTGCTGCTTCCCTCTCTGACCACCACTTTTGTTTTGGTACTGAGGACTGCAGCCAGGTCCTTAAGCATACTAGGCAAGCCCTCTTCTACTGAGCTATACTCCAAGCCCTTTTTATTCTGAGACAGGGTCTTGCTGGGGATTTAGCTCAGTGGTTCTACCACCTTCCTTGCAAGCACAAGGACCCAAGTCCAACCCCCATACCACCCCCCAAAAATAGAGACAGGGTCTAAGTTACCCAAAGTGGCCCTGAACTTGTGATATTTGTGCCTTAGCCTTTTGAGTAGCTGGGATTATAGGCATGCAGAGGCCAGAGATGTCACATGCCAGAGACATTGTCTTAAAAGAAATTTAAATAAACTACTCATTTATTTATTTAGGAATACCTTGCAGTTATAAAAAAAAAAAACAAGGCTTTCTGGGGATTTAGCTCAGCAGTGCTGCCGCTGGCCTTGCAAAAAAAGGTCCCAAGTTCAATCCCCAGTACAAAAACAAGAACAAAGCAAAAAAAACACCAAAAAATAAAAAAACACAAAACTAAGACTGGTAAACACAGTCTCAAAGACAGACCGAGAAACAAAACAAAAGGGCAGAAGATATATATGATCTTTCTTGGATTACAAATCTCATGAACTGCTGGGAATGGTGGCACATGCCTACAAAACCAACTATTTAGGAGGCTAAGGCAGGAAGATTGAAAGTTTGAGGCAACCTGGTAACTTAGCAAGACCCTGTTTCAAAAATAAATAAATAAATACCAAACAAGAAAAAAGGCTGGGGATGTAGCTCCGTGGAAAGGCCCTGGGGTCAACTCCAGTGCTGCAGAAAACAAACAAACAGCCTTAGAAAAATAAAACAGGACACCTGTAATATCAGGAATTGGGAGGCTGAGGCAAGATTACAAACTCAAGACCAGTATGAAGTATATCATGAGTTCAATCTGAGGCTGAGGAAGGAAGATGGCTGTGAGTTCGAGGCCATCCTAGGCTACATAATGAGTTTAAAGGCCAGCCTGAACTACATAGTGAGATGCTGCCTCAAATCTCAAAAAAACAACCAAATTTTGAGTTTGGCAGCACATTCCTGTAATCCTAGCACTTGGGACCTGAGGCAGGAAGACCTTCAAGAGTTTCAGGCCAGCCCAAACTACGTAGGAAGTACACAGTGAGACCCCATCTCAAAAAAACAAAACCAAACCAATATCAACAAAACAAATAAAACAAAAATAACAGAAAGAAGAATGGGTGAGATGGGATCCTGCCATCGACTTTCTAGTCCGTCCATCTGTCTGCTCCCCCTCCAGAATCAAACCTAGCACATGCCAGGTTAAGTATTCTACCACTGAAGTACTACACCCCCAGCCAACCTGCTAGTTTTTTACAGTGACACACATTAGACATATTAAAATCTGCAGGGCCGGAGATTTAGCTCAGCGGTTCAGTGGCCTGCCTTGCAAGCACAAAGGACCGGAGTTCAATCCCTGGTACCAAAAAAAATAAAAAAATAAAATAAAATTTGCAGTTTTGTGTTTTGGTGCTGGGGATCAAAACAAGGGCCTCCAGGATGCCACAGGTGCTCTACCACTCTGCTGCACCCCTAGGCTTTAGTTTCTTTTTCATGGCCAAAACCCTGTGCAGGTAGACAGGCAGGGCAGTAAGAAATGGCTGAATTGCAGAGCCCTGTAGACAGGAGGTACTTCACAAATGATCGTTAGGGCAGAAGCCAAGCCTATAGCTTATTTCATGGACTGCTCACAAAAATGCAAGCAGAGCTGGTGGAGGCCAAAACCTGGCCTCCAGCTCCAGGGTGGTAACAGTCTGACCCTGGCCCACACAGAAAATGCCTGCAGGTCTACAAGTAGGGTGGGGAAGGACAGGAGATTGTCACCTGCCTCTGAGGCAGCCCTTGCTGTCACCTGGCAGGGAGTAGGGAGCAGAGGGCTTTCTTTGTCCCAGGCCCACCCAGACCCTGCAGCTCAGCTCCTCAAGGCCAGGCCCCACAGGCTGTTAGGTCTCTAAAGCCCTAGGTCTCCTGAGTGCTTGACTCAAAGGTGAACGGAGGATTTAACTATGCAGGTCCCAAGCCAAGCACCCAAAGGGAGTTTAGGAGACAAGGCAGCTGACCAACCCTTGGCACTGAGCCCCTGCCCCATTTATCAGGAGGAAGGGATGCAGGCACTTCCAGGCTTTCTTCAACTACCATTAGCATCTCTAGGTCAATACTACCAGCTGAATGAGTAGAGAAGGTTTGACCATCTCTAGGCCTCAGCTTCCCAATTTATATAAAGAGAGGTTGCTGACAGGGTTAAATGAGTTAATTGGGTAAAGTGCTTGGCCCAGAGCCTGGCACAAAAAAACATCTTCCAAACAATGGTGGCTGCTATTGTTATTATTATTAGCATCTTGGTGATTCCGGAAGGAAGGCAGCACTGGGCAATAGGCCAAAGGGGTTGGGGGCCTTTTCAGGACGCCTCAGGGACCAGCTGCCACCCACACCTCATCAACAGTTGAACAGTTTCTACCTTAGTCCGGGCCCAGTCTGGCCCCTCCCACTTGTTTCAAGCCTGCTGCTGAGAGCCGGTCCTGCAAAGCCAGCCCCGGCCAGCTCCCACCTTCACCCACAGGCTGTATGTAATTCGGCAGCTTCTTCTGGGACCCCCAGTTTGAACTGGTCTTGAGCTTCTTGCGGCTCAGGGGTCTGGAAGGACTTATTTAAGAATTTCCCTGGGACACTCTCCGTCCAGGCCCTGCGGGCCTCCTCTCCAGCTCCCATAGGCCCAGCCCACCCAGTCCTTCCAAAGAGGCTGAGGGGTCTGCCTGCCTGATTAATGAGGTTCCATGGCAACCAAGGGCTGGAGGGTGGCAGATGGAAGGACGGGCAGAAGGAGGGGATCAGCAGCTGGCCCAGCGCCCCGCCCCTGCAGAGAAGGCCTCCCAGCTCGGAGGCCTCTCCCCAGAGGCCTGGAGGGCCAGGCCTGCACCTGGCAGTTCAGCATCAAGGCAGGAAGTAGGGTCTCCCTCATGGCTCTTCAATGGTCAGGACCTTCTCCCGCCCCCGTCCCCTTTAACTCCCCAAGAGCCATGCCCACTACCCAGCACAAGTACCAGTTCACATCCTAGAGCCACCACCTGCAGCTGTACGACGTGGGACAAGTCACTTCCCTTTCTGGGGCTCACTCGGTTCCCAGAGTGAGTCAGAGGGAAGCAGCGACAACACTGAACTCACAGCAGGCTTGTGAGTTTAGCTGGCCTTTGGTCTGCGGTAAGGGCCAGCTGAATACACGTGGGCAGTTAGTATGGGTCCAACGTTCGAGCGGCTGCAGTACGAAGCCGAAGCCGAGACCTCGAGCAAAGGAGCAAACGGACTGGCCCGAGGTCACCCCGCACCCCGGGGCGGGGCTCAGAGGCCCAGCCCAGGCTCTGCACCGCCCAGGCCCGGGAGTCTCAGCCCTTTTCTCCCCCGCCC